TGTATAGGGTTTCCAAGGAGAAGCTGGTGAGTTTGAATCACTGACCTTGCGGTCCAGTGACTTATCCCACACTGGGACTCCGTGTAAATAATGTATAGCCTCAGAAACTCTACACAGGGTCTCCAAGAGTTAGACCTAACTCATTGGCAGTGGGTTTGGTTCATTTCTGGTTATTAAAATTACAAATGTACATAACTTTTGTTAATAGTTCTAGTTCTAAAGATTTATCCTTCAGATTTCGGCACACATACGTGCAAAGGCATATATATATAAAGATGCTATGTTTGTAGTGGGCAAAAAAAAACCCCATAAATTTCCATACCTGTTTTTACACACAGACTCTAATAACATTAATTTTATTTGCTTATCATGTGCCAGGCATTATACTAAGTGATATTTATTTACATATTCTTGTAACATTTAATATCTGTGTATGTATACATACATATATGAGTCCTAGTGTGGTGATGTAGGATAAGCACTGGACTGGTAACCTCAAGGTCAGCTGTTAAAACCCACCAGCACCAAAGAGTCGCAGCATCAGCATATGCATATATATTTTTAAATTTCCACTTTAGATAATTAAATTCAATTAAATATATAGGGTTTCTGAGAGTACCTGGTGTGTTTGAGCTGCTGACTTTGCAGTTAGCAGTCCAGTGCTTATCCTACAGTGTCACACAGGGGCTCAAATCATGTACTTGTTAAATGCCTTTGAGTCGGTTCTGACTCATAGCAACCCTGTATAGTGTTTCCAAGGAGCAGCTGGTGGGTCTGAACAGCCAACCTTGTATTTCAAACTGACCTTTGGGTCCAGTGCTTGTCCTATAGCATCATGCCAGGACTCTTAGAACTTAATAAATTACAATTATTATTATTATGTTGTTGTTCAGTCAGTTGATTCTAAGTCACAGTGACCCGATATAGGGTGTCTAAGGGGCGGTTGGTGGGTTTGAATAGCAGGCCTTGTGGTTACCAGTCCAGTGACTATCTTACAGTGCTGGTGTGGTGCTGTAGGATAAAGCACTGGATTGTAGGATTGCTCTGAATCATAAGGTCTGAGGTTCAAACCCACTAGCGGTTCCTTGAAAACCCTATAGAGGGTTACTGTGAGTCGGAGCCAACTTGATGGCACTTAACAACAACCGTAGCAACAACAACAACAACATATTAATAGTCATTATTTATTAAGTTCTAAGAGTCCTGGTGTGGCACTATAGGATAATCACTGGACTGAAAGGTCAGTTTGAACCTCAAGGTTGGTGATTCAAACCCATCAGCTTCTCCTCAGAAACCCTGTACAGGATTGTTGAGTCAGAACCGACTCAATGACACTTCACAACAACAACATTATTATATTAGAGAGCCCTGCTGGCACCAGTGGCTCTGCTACCATACACATTGTTGTTGTTGTTAAGTAACATCAAGTCGATTCTGACTCATAGAGACCCTTTATAGGGTTTTCGAGGAGCAGCTGGTGGGTTTGAACTTCTGACCTTGTAGTTCACAGTCTAGTGCTGATCTTACAGTGGCACACCAATAGCCCCCCATAAACATGACAGCCTAGGAAATCCTATGGGACAGTTCTACTCTGTTTTATGAGAAGACTATGAGTTGGAAGTGACTGGATGGCATACAACTACATTATTATCATAGTATGCCTCAAGTGATGCCTATTGATACTTGGTATAAAAATAAGCCAAAACCACAATGTAGAATTCAGTGATAGTAACCGTAGACCGGTTTCTATGCGATGGAATTGGTTTTGAGTAGTCTAGATGACTAGATGGTCAGATTTTTAAGTAGACTCATTAGTTGTTTATTTTAGGGGTAAAAAATGGAACTTTATCAAACTGAATGGCATCAGGCAGAGGGATACAACTTTCTAAGGAAATCATAAAGGAATTGGAAATGAATCAGTGTAATGATTTGACTAGAGAAAAGTAAGATGGTCCTGGGAGAGCTAAGTTATATCTGGCATGAACTTCTACGCACCAGCTGCTGGCTGGTTTAGGAAGGTTTCAAACTAGGTTAGGCATTTTTAGAGGTTCCTGGGGTCTCCCTAACCAGATCTTTCACAAAGAAATCTATACAAAGCCTAGAAGAACTATGCTATAATCTTCCATTTAGAAGAGATCTTATTTAATTTTAAATTTCTCACAACACCTTGTACTCAAAGTTTCTCAATTCAATTTTGGTGAATTGAATTGAAATTTATCTGCCAAATTGGAGTGGTAGAATGTAGTCTGTGCGATTCTTCAATTCTGGGCCTTGATGACATTGTGCTGCATTATAAGGACATATTTCTGCTGTCCTTGTCAAGCCCTCACAACTGGTTACCACCCCGGATTCTAAAATCTGCTCACCTTATTCCTTATCTCTGGAAGTGTTACCCTTGTGGGCCCAGACTCTAATTTTATTCTCATCTCTTAATCTCAGAAATGTCTAGAATTCCCTTAAAATATAGCTATTGGGATTAAGATATCCAGTGATTCACAAAGGGTTATTTACAGTCATAGTGGTTACATACAGTTTATAGTGTCCCTTACAACCTTTCCTAGCCTGCACCCCTTGTTTTTCCTTGTACCAAACCCAGGGTTGACCTGAGGCAATTACATGAAACCCATTCTCACTTCCTTATACATAGGTTATACTTTATGGGCAACATTCTATATTTTATCATGATTTGAAAGCTGAGTTAACATTTGGCATAGTGTCTTATGTGTTGGGCTGTTAGCCATGAGTTCAGCAGTTCAAATTCACCAGATGCTCCATAGGGGAAAGATGAAACTTTCTGCTCCCATAACGGGTGGCTGTAAGTTAGAATTGACTCGACGGCAGCACACAAACACCACCCCCACCAGCAATAGTCCTTTAGGATTTCCCAGATAATTTGCTTAATTCCCACACCTCAGTGGGTGGGTAAAAGCAGCCTTATTGTAGAGTTGAGGAAATTAAGGCCCAGAGAATGTTGGGAATGTTTGCAGAGTGTGAAGGTTTCTGTTTTCTGCTCCTGGTAATCACACAATGATGCTGACTACTGAGACTCCTATGCAGACTTGAAGTTTGATCTCTTGACCTTGTTCATTGTTATCGATGGGGTACAGTTAGATAGGAACTGAGAGATTTGGCTCTGACTCCTAGCTCTACATCTCATTATCCTATTAGTCATTTGTAAAGTGGAGGTAATATCTACTTGTGAGTTGTAGGAGGGAGGAGAGAAAGTCAGACATCTATCAGGTGTGGTCCACTACATGCCCTCAATAAAAGTAGCAACAGTTATCTACAGCAGGCCAGATGTATTTTCCCAAATCACCTGCCCAGGCCACTTATTTCTTAAACATCTGTTCGAGCTTCTTGCCTTTAGGGTTATCTAGTAAACTGCTTTTCAAAGTTAGTATATACATGAATTACCTAAGTACTTGCAGAATTTGATTTAGTAAGTCTCAGATGAACCTGCATTTGTGACAGACTTTCAGATCATGTCAATGCTGGGTAGAAAGGTTATAGGGTTTTCTACTACCTGGATTTAGGAACCAGTCGTTCTGGTTCATTAGTCCTCAAACTTCATAGTTCATCATAATAACTTGGAAAGTTTCTTAAAATACAAACTACTGGGGTCTGCTCCAGATTTTTTGATTTAGTAAGTCAGGGAAGGGCCAAGGGAGCTCTGGTGGCTCTGTGGGGTACAAGCTGGGATGCTAACCAGTGGGAGAGATGAAGCTGTTTATGCCCATAAAGACTTACAGTCTCAGAAATAGAGTCCTATAGGGTAATTGTGACCCAGAATGGACTTAATAGCAGTAGGTTTTGGTTTGGGGTAGTTCTTGAAAATCTTTTCTAACAAGTCCTCAAGTGATGCTAATGAGCTAGTCTAGGGAATCATACTTTGGAACATACTCTAGGTTTGGAGTTCCTGAGTGTTCCAAACAGTTAATGAGACCTCCCCCTACTCCCAGTAGGCACATTGGAAAAGGTCTGGTCATTAGAAAGAAAATTCGTCCTTGCAAACCCTATGGAGGACAGCTCTACTTTAACATGCACGGCTCACCTAATTCCACTAGCAACTGTTTATTTTATTTATTTATTTTTAGACTTAGCAAGAAATTGCTATAAAATCAGAAAACCAAGTGAAAAGATTCTAATTCACAGTGACCCTAGCAGTGGTAGGTAATCTTTTTGCTGCCAAAATTTATAACATCATTTGTGGGTCATGCAAAATTATCAGCTTAAAAATTAGCCTGCTGTATTTGGCCAAACATTAAATTAAGTCATGTGATAGCTGGAGGGAGTCCTGGTGTGGCGCTGGACCGAAAGGTCGGTTTGAACCACAAGGTTGGTGGTTGGAATTCACCAGCCACTCCTTGGAAACCCTATACAGGGTCATTGTGGACCAGAACCGACTGGACGGCATTTAACAACAACACTGACAATGTGGTAGCTGGAGTCCTGGTGTGGCACTGTAGGATAAGCACTCAACTTAAAGGTCGGTTTGAACCGCAAGGTTGGCAGCTCAAACTCACCGGCCGCTTTTTGGAAACGCTGTACAGTGTTACTATGAGTCAGAACCGAATTTACCGCATGTGGTAACAACAAAATGTAATGACTGAACCTGCGGTTGCCTTGGCAGGTTCAGGCCAAATGATTTCGAGGACCTTAAATGGCAGGCCTTCCCCATATCTGCTATATAAGGTTTCTGAGGTTTTTTTATAGGAGCCGACAGCTCAGCTTTTCCTGCAGAACCACTGGTGGGTTTGAACTGCCAACGTCATCGCAGTCCAGTGATTATCCAAGAGCGTCCCCCCCGACTCTAGACTCCAGCGCTAACAGCAATCCCTGGTAAAGGTCAGAAGGGACTTTAATTTCATTAAAGTCATTACTGACTTTCACGATGGTTCTTCTTAAGCAAGCACTCTTATTCCTAAGGATCTTCCATTTTCCCATCTGCATGCCTGGTCCCCCTCCTGTATTCAAGCCCAATATTAACATGTGCCCTTTACCTTGTAGACATTGATGGGGATGTCAATGATGATGTGCAGCAAATCTCCCAAAGCCAGACTGGCGATCAAGATGTTGGGTCCATTTCGCATACACTTGTTCTTGTAAATGATTCTCAGTAGGGTGGAGTTCCCAATAATGCCCAGTAGGAACACTAGACAAGACACCACTGTGTTGATGTACTTGAAAGTGTCCCTGATCTCTGTAGATCCTTGGCATGGGGGAGGGGATGGAGTACGTTGTTTGGTCCCGGCTGTCCTCCCTCCTTTAGGTACCTGCGGAGGTGCTGATGACCTTAGCAGACTGTCATTGGACCCTCTTGGCCAAGAGGTCCTAGTGGGAGGCGTCATTATCTCTCCTAGTCCCAAAAGTGGCAGAGTAGCCCGGGCCGGTGGGAATCCCTTCTCCTCTGCCCAGACCCCCGCGACGCCGCAGGCAAGAAGCAACGCCACTAGGGCGCGTCCGCACAGGCTTGGAGGCGACTGCATGCTGGTGCCTGCTGAATTGGGCGTCTGGAGACCTCCACGCGGTATTCTGAGCCTAGAGACCGACAGGGAAGGAAGACAGGACACTTGGATCAATCACTGTAGCAAAATCTCGGCAAACTGCAAGCGCAGGGCGCAGTCTTGCCTCCACCAGCGGTGCGCAAAAGTAGCTCAAGTTTGCGCGCCAGTGAAGAACTTCTGCACTCACGACCCGCTCCAACCATTTGAATATCGGGCTGGAACTCTCTCCCAGAGGTTTTGCCTCCCCAGCGTCCCGCCGAAAAGCAAATCACGCGCATTCAGAAAAACATTCAGGAAACCGTGTGCCAGAGGATGGGAGTCTGAGGCAAAGATCTGGCCTTCGCTGTATGTCAGGAGGGAGACATATACGTTGTAACTCAGGGTGCTCAGGGGGTAAGAATCAAAGCACCCAGTGCCCCGAAGCACGAGCCAATCTCTGCACTTTGCTAGTAGGGAAATCCCGATAACCGGAGTCTGAACTTCAGAATCCTCCAGGAGGGAGAAAGCCGGACGCTGTGGCTAGTGACTATACTGTGGTTCCCTCCTCCCCCCTTTCCCAGGGGTATGTCCTGACTCCGACAATCAGTTCGACTTTGGGGAAATATCAGCTATTAAGTTTAACATTTCTGACCCCTCAGTAGTTTCAAATATTCACGCACTCTGGGTTACCCCAACCTCACTTTAACTTGTACGCACTTTAACCTCTTCTTTCAAAAAAGAAAGAAAGAAAGAAAGAAACATCCCTAAAGTAGTTATCTAAACCTAAACTCAGCGCAAGATCCAGTCACTGATTTTACATGGAAACCAGGTCGGAATGTTTACCTCGTGGATGGAGCCCCCCAGGAGTAGAGAGATGATCTGTGCCCTTCTCTGGTTGGGAGGCGCTGAGTGACTGGCTGTACTGCAGACCCGCACGGCTGGCAGCTCGGTTCCAGCCTGCTCCGGGAGCAGAGCACGCCTACCTTCAGCTGCAGGCGGGTCTGGTTCTGACGAAACGTTGTGAGAATGCCAGACAGTGTAGCCTCCACAATTCGCTCGGGGTATCTGCTGTCCTTAGACAAGTACTTTTATTCATTGGTCCCTTCCCATCAATCAGCGCCAAACTCCTCCCTCGCCTTCCGACCGTGCTGCAACCTTTCCCCCAGGGCTAAGCCTGGACAACATCAGCTAAGAACAGCTCTCTAGAAAGGACAGCTCTCCCGGGCCAGAGACGGGTCCACGAGGTTGTTTGTTTGTCATAGTTCTAAGTTCTTCAAATGACAAGCCTAAATCATGGACAAATTATCACGCACCCGTGACACACCAGGGATCCAAACTAGATTTAAAAAGGTTTTAATAGTAAACGTGTTCATCTGGACTTTGAATGTGAACAGTGACTTTTCTTTCAGTAAAATAGTTCCCTTTGATATTAGACTTAGTTTGAGGACACTGGCCTTTGCTATATTTTTGTTTTGTTTTATTTTGTTTTCACCCTAAAGTTTCCAGTAAACATTGGCCCTTAAAAGAGCGTCCTTTTTTCACAGGCCCTGTCTTTGCCAGGTTCCAGGGTGGTGCAAACTGTTACACGCTAGACTAATAAGGAAAATCGGCTGAGCCACCCAGAGATGCATTAGAAGACCGGTCTGGCTGTCTACTTCTGAGAGGTACCAGCTGTGAAGGCGTGATGGAATAGAATTCTATGCTACACACATGGGTCATCTTGAGTTCTAATGATTCCATGGGCAACTGGTTTTGTTCTCTTTACCCAGAGAGAAGACTACAGGTCCTCTCTCATTCTCTTCTTTTCAAGCATGGGGTTCATTTCACCTGCACTTGTTCTTGTAAATGTGCTAGAATGTCATTGTTAAGCTAACTCAGGGAGTTTTATAATGCACCTATATTGTTGTAAGTGTTGTTGGTCTGTTCCAACTCATAGCAACCCTTCATAGGGTTTCCAAGGAGTGACCGGTAGGCTTGAACCACCAACTTGATAGTTAGAAGTACAGTGCTTGTCCTTCAGTGCCACACCAGTTTTCCACGCAACAATAAGGGACCAAATACCTTGTTGTGGTTCTTGTTGTTAAGTCAGTTCTGATTCAACAACCTTGTATAAGGTTTTCGAGGAGCAGCTGGTGGGTTTGAACTCAGTAACCCTGTATAAGGTTTTCTAGGAGCAGCTGGTGGGTGGACTTTGTGGTTCACAGTCCAGTGCTGATCCTACAGTGTCACACCAGATACCTTAAAGGACATAAAAATAATCAGAAAGCTGCCACACAGATTCAGAATGTCAGCTGTGGTGTCGGTTCCAACTCAAAGTAACCATGCTTTGGGTTTCCAAGGCTATAATTCTTTACGGGAGCCTCTTCTTTCTCCGGAGAAACGGCTGATAGTTTCAAACTGCTGACCTTGAGGTTAGCATCCTGACTAGACAGAAGCAATAGTGACTGCCAGTTTTGTACAAAGACTGGTTTTATAAACAGAACTCATAAGCCTGGGTTGTGATATATACACTGGTCACATCTATGCTGACCTCCTCCCTGCGGGCTCCATGACATTTCAGACCCAGAAGCATCCATTCTGGTAGAGAGCTAGTGAATGGGATAGGTGGCACAAGAATCTTGGAATTTTGGTCCCTATTCAATGTTTTCTGGGACAGTGAAAGTATTTTTTTTTTTTTAATGCAACAATTTCTATTTTAAAAAGGTGAACTTTAAGTCTCAAGAAAATGACTCAAGAATCAGGCTAAAGGAATGAGAAATATGGTCTAGGGTTGGGAGTGCTAATTCCACATCTGGCCATTTTACACACAGTAGTTATTCTCCCTGCCTTAGTAAAAACAAGGTCAATATTCAATTGATTTGTAGCTGAGTTGAGTTATGACACATAGTGCTGTGAATGAGGAATTATCTAGATGCATTTGGAATATGGAACCCCTCTAGCAGGTGCAAAGGCTCTTGGTGTGGTGCTGTAGGATAAGCACTGGACGGCAAACCACAAGTACGGCAGCTCACGTTCACTAAGTGTTCCTCAGAAACCCCACACAGGGTCAGAACTGACTTGATGACACTTAACACGGGGTGAAAACCATTAACAGGCTCTCAATTGCTAATTAGAAAGTTTGAAGTTCGAGTCCATCCAGAGGCACCTGGAAGCAAAGACCTGGGGATCTGATGTTGGAAAGCCAGTCTCTAAAATCCCTATACAGTACAGTTTTTCTCTGACATACATGGGGCCACAGTGGAACAGAGTCAATTGGATGGCAACGGTGTTTTCCAGAGTATGAATGTTTTGCTCAGAGATTCCAGTCAGTCTTGAAATACCCTCTCACATGTTTTCTTCTTAGCCTTTGTCCTTTCATACATAGGGCTTACAGAAATGAGGCGAATTGCTATCCCTTGCCTTCTCCTGCCATTTTCATCAGCATTTCCATTCATATTTCCTCCAAGTCTTAGATGTTTGTTGTAAGTCTCACCGATGTCTATCTTCTCCTAACACTTTAAGTCAATCAAACACAATTCAGTACTTACCACATAGAGGATTTGATAGGTCACTATTGATTTCATGTAAATTAATTCCTTTTACAGGATTGTTGTTATTGTTGTTAAGTGCCATCAAGTCGATTCCAACCCATAGTGACCCTGTATAGGGTTTCCAAGGATAAAGGCCAGATTATAAATTCTTCCAGTATCATCACAGGGAGCTCTGGTAGTGAAGTGGTTACAAGTCGAGCTGCTAACTTTAAGGTCAGCAGTTTGAAACTACCAGGTGTTCCATGGGAGCCCATAAAGATGTACAGCCTCTGAAACCCTATACAGGGTCACTAGGAGTCGGAATTGGCTCCACGGCACACCATCACCACCACCAGTATCATCACAATGCCTGCCACAAATTTATCTCAATAAATACTTTTAATGATGACTAATTATATTTTGGAATCCTGGTGTGGTACCATAGGATAAGCACTTGACCGCAAGATCAGTTTGACCTGCAAGGACGGTGGTTCAAACTCACTAGCTGCTTCTAGGAAACCCTGTACAGGGAGGGTCACTGTGAGTCAGAACCTATTGGATGGCACACAACAACAATTATGTTTTAAGTTGTAGTTTAGTAACTGTAATCATAGGGTGCAAGCTGTTAATGTATGACGGCTAAGCAAAGGTTGGAAATTTCAGTTTATTCAGAGGTACCTTAGAAGAAAAGCACGGGCACGGTCAGCTTCACAAAAATCATCCACCATGAGTTGGAGTTGACTCAATGGAAATTCTTTTTTTTTTTTTTTTAAGTCATAGGGATTAGTAACAAACCCCCCAAATTTAAATGAAACATAACCGTCCTTCATTTGAAAAATAAAGGGCAATATTGACTATACATTATCAACACTATCACATACATTGTGATGTGACACCATAGGATAAGCACTAGACTTCAAGGTCAGTTTGAACCACACGGTTGGTGGTTCAAACTTACCCACTGCTCCTCTTATATAGGGTCACTATGAGTCAAACCGACTCGACAGCATTTAACAACAACATCACATATACTTGGTGGCACAGTGGTTAAGCATGGGGCTGTTTGTCAAACTGCAGGAGGCTTGAACTACCAGCGTGTCTATCGGCTCTCACAAAGGTGACAATCTAAGAAAACCTGCTCTGTCCTGTAGGGGTCACTATGGGTCAGGATTGTCTGAAGGCTACACAGCAACAAAAACAACACATATATTGTTGTTGTTGTTAAGTGCTGTTGAATTGGTTCTGACCTTTAGCGACCCTGTATAGGGTTTCCAAGGAGCAGCTGGTGAGCTTGTACTGCTGATCTTGAGGTTCAAATCGACTTTGCAACCCAGCGTTTTAACCCACAGGATGCCACCAGAACTCCAACACATGTACTAGGCACCTTATTTATAGGATCCAATTTGCTCTCTCATGTCAGTCTTTGAGTTGCATATTATTTTTCATGAGTGTAAGGAAAGTTAAGCAATTCATGAAACTACATGGCTAGTTCAGTAGGACCAGGATTTGAAATTAAAGTTAAATTTAAGTCTATTCTGATTGTACAGACTGTGATTTTGAGGAACTTGATTATAAATTGTCTAAACAGACTTTTTTTTCTTTAAGCAGTATGGTAGTGCAGTGGTTAAAGCACCGGACTGCTAACTGAAAGGTTAGCAGTTCCAAACCACCATTTACTCCACAGGAAAAAAGATATGGCAGTCCAC